TTAAGCAGAGATAAGCTATAATTTGTTTCATTTAGGATGAGTACAGATTTGCTTTTTAGTGATCGCGGGTGAAGATATGCGCTTCGGTTGTAAGCCCGATAAGTCCCCAGGAAGAGTTACTGCCACATTTTTCGTTGGTTCTTAATTAGTACATCGGGCTGAGAGTGGATGGGAGTGTACTCTACCGTTGTTTCACAACTAGGTACACTCTTAGCTTGCTTGGCGTTGATGGCGAGGGGCACATCACTATTGCTGCTTGGCGAGGTCTCAGAAGGTCTGGACTGCACCATCGGGTCCGAATTATGATACTGCGGTCTCAAGTTCGACAGAACCTAACCCTGCAAATGTATTGGTCCGACTAATGGGAACATGGGAGTTCGAGGGACTGAATGCTTATGCTTTTCTGCTAGTCGCCTTTGAGGAGATGTTAGATCGTTTTTATTAATATTTCTGACATTGGGAAGGAATACTGATGCACTCGAATCGTCCAGAAGCTTCAGCTGTACTGGGTACGAGGACACGTTTGCCTTCTTTTGCAACCTGAGATATAAAAAGAGGTCAGTCCATATGGCATGAAGAGTATTTGTAACTTTGTCAGCCACATTAAGGATCCTACCATTATGTGATCTACGTAGGCGTTCTTACGTCTCGGAATAGATTGAGGACAAAAAATGCCAGCCTTGAGTACTAATCTTAGGGTACCCTTTTATGCGCCTTTATGTATCTAACAGGACGGCACAAACACACGGTAAATAGTGTCAAAATCATGAACTCTGTTGTTCAGAGCATAACTTCTTATTCAAGAGCGGTTTGCTGAGTGTTCATTTCAGGTGGGATGGTGGTAACGTGGTTGGTGTATTGTACAGTCATAACCGATATTTTGCGCAGTTTTGGTGAGTAATATATCGTTTTTGCCGCAAAAATCTGTGTAATAGTAGTGGTAGTATAGTAGTGGTAGTAGTAGTAGTAGTAGTAGTGGTAGTAGTAGTAGTAGTAGTAGTAGTAGTAGTAGTAGTAGTAGTGAAATCCGTGTGTATTTTAGTCTTTCCTGGTTTCATCTGAACTTACGTGGGGAGCTGCTCTAGCTGACAGTCCTATCATATGGTTCTCCGCGAATCAACGGAAAGTCTGAATGATAAACGGAATCTACTAGCTGTAAAGTAAGACTTCATTTATACGGTACATTACTAGTTCGCACTATTTGGTCGCGACGTGTCACAATTGCTGCTTACCGAGTTTTGCGTCTTCCGCGGTCTGTCTGTGCCACTGATCCGCGTGTACTGCTCGCTTTAATCGAATTCTTCCCCGTATGCTTTGTGTGCCTAGAACGCATCAGCTGTATTTTGTCTCTGTAGCAGGTGCACACGCTTCGTCTGTTCACGGCTAATTCAGCCAATCCGTTCCGTTGTTCGCGGCTCTTCCGGTCAATCCACTTCTTCACTGTTCTTGCTAAGTGAAGCCCATCCTGATTCCTTTGACTGTCTCGTAAATGTGTGCTAAATTTGCGTTGACGACGGCTTCTTTACACCTATCCTTCCTATCATTCAACGGTCGGGTATACTTAACCAAGAAGTTAGAACCACAATAGATAACGAGCTTTTCTAGGGTACACTCAGTAGGGTGTTAAGCGATGAAATTACAGCTGTTAACTAGTGAGATCACAGAGTAATCACTAACGGAATCTTTATTTATATCCTGTAGGCGACATGATAAGCCAAACATTTTTGAATGTGAGTCAAAAATGGTGTATACATTCTCATCACTTCAGCGTGTGACAGAGATAGCTTATGTCCAAGTATTGTCCTGCAACTTGGCAGATACGTTTCTCGGCGTCTAAACGCAATATCCTGCTTGCGTATGACATGTGCAGCCTGGCTTATTTCGACTTCATGATAGCATCACGCATGATTATTTTTGTATCAGAGATCTGGGCTTGAGCTATCCGCACTCACTAAACCACAAGGAGCCTAGAAACAACACGTGTGGTCAAGGGTGCGTCCGTTGCTTATTATTTTAGAAGGAAACCAGATTTATAGATTACAAATCATTTGTTGGAACAAGGACACGCCGCACAGATGTGGCCTGAAGTTCACATAAAGATATTCAACATGCCACCACCAAAAGTAGTAACTGTTGTTCGACACTAGTTTTTATATGATTAGGCAATGCGAACTTAGATTCGAGGTTTTGTGGTTGCCTAGCTTATACCTATATTTGTAATTAACGCATCAATCTCTGTAGCAAAGCACACAGTGCTAAACCTGTACTTTATAAAATTAGATAATACTAGACCAAGACAATGCACTTGATCTACCTCGGATGGCAAAAAGCAAATGAAGTCGGGACAACGGGCTGTATTCGATGGGATAAAAAAGACGTGGACAGATGAAAAAACAGGAGTAAGCGTTCGCACGACAACGTAAGAAGCAAACGAGCGTTGAACCGGATGTACATCAACATTGTGGCAGTGAAAGGTGGATTAACACAAGAAGTAATCAGATACAACTAAACAACAATAAAACTGCGTAACAGTTGTTTTTTGGGGCGCCATTGAGCTTCCCCTTGCACCGTTTAGACTAGAATCCAGCCACCATGTACGTGGCACGGTATACATGGGGACTGTGTCTAAACTTAACACCCTCACAGGAAAGAACTTCGATGTTGTAGGATACTGCCTTAAATGAAATAAAAGCCGAAATCCTTTGTGTGCTCAACATTTTGATTAAGAAGTTTTTGATACTTGCAATAGTGAGGCCAGTTCAACCTTTGCAAATGGACGGTAACAGAGCATTGTGCAAGGGCCGTACCATTCATAAGGTAAAATCTCGAGTTGGAATATTCCGGTAATAGAAAGAAAGCTAGTGGAACAATCTTTACAAAGAAAAGCAAACAGGAAAAGTTTCGAAACACCCAGGAAGGAACCCTTGCTGTGTGTAATTGGAAACTGACACTTCATAATTTACTTATCATGAACATGTCTGGGTCACGTAAAGCCTTTGTGCACATGCCGGAGCAGTTACAACGGAATCTTTCTCTCTCCATTTCGTTTACTTGGTCCACATCCACATGCCTCTAGTATTAGCGTTCTTTTCACAGATTTTGACGTGACGTTTCGTGACCACTTTTCACGTGGCCGATGCTCGGACCTTGTGGCTCATCAAACCCATGTGCGCACACGGTAATAGGGAGAGAAATGGTACATTCCGCTCATCTTCGTCCAAATTATGTTAGATCGCTATCTCTGTGGAAGTTTTTTCGGCTCCGGTAATTTCATTAGTTTCCACTTAAGCGATATGTATCCTTAATCCCCTTAATTTTCTCGCACCTCAACTGAAACGACATGTTTTTCTTGACTTTGTTTACCTGTTTGAACAACATCTTTAAAGTCCGCGGTATTCTTCCTACTTCCTAATCTATCAAATAAAACTTCCCTAAAGTTTGCTCATTCTTTCTATTTTTACCCAGTAACCGGTAACCGGTTGGGCCCCTCAGTTCATCGGTCGTAAAGTTATCCCTTTCCTGGGCTACCATCTGTTAGGCTCAACGAACAGTGAGCTTCATAACTCTCCGGCTACTCCGTACACTAGCATCATCCTCGAACTGCATTCTTCCCAGAAAGACTCACATGGACTCTTGTTTTTCACTGAAACTATTTGTACCACGGTCGCAAAAGCAGTCTGTTTCACATCCGAAATGCTTATTTACAACTTAAGAAATTCAGTTGGAAGTTAACTATACAAAATACCGTTAAAGTCGTACTGCGTCGTTGGAAGAAAACGAACAGCAGGTGGCATTACAATTTTTGGGTATTCCGGGATAATATGATTGTTTCGAGTTTCATGCAGAATGTGAAAATACCTTTTCAAACATGGATGGATCATCTAGTGCTATAGGAGTTAGGTGGACTAATGTCAGTACTGGCATTCAGCAATTCGAAAGTTGCGGTTGCACAAATATGACAGAAACTGGCATTAGATTAAGAATTATGCTCAAAGAAACTCACATCAGACTGATGCTTGCATTGAAGGGTAATCGGATCTGAGAAGTGTCAGAGAAATATAATACGTGATTAGGGTTGATATATGGCAATGTTTTTATTACTATCATACGCTAATGATGTAGACAGTATGTGAAACAAACAGTGTGTGCACTCAGAAGCTCTAACAACAGTTTGGCCGAACCAACTATGTAGCTGTATAATAGCTAAATGAATCAAATTGTCGACTAGGATGGTAATATATATGGTATGTAACACTTATCAAAGCACTAACGCGTAACTAGTCAGACATATGACAGTGTGGGTGTCATTCCGTAATTGTGGTACTGGTCGTGCTCGATAAGTGTGCACCACGTAAGCCGATTTGTCATGAACCAATCAGGTGCCGATTAGGAGTCCCCGTAGTCCGCCTTAAACAAAACTCACACCTCTGGCAAATCGGGGACGAGTTGCCAGTACAGGATTTCATGTTTGACAACGTGAACAATAAAACAATATGTACGGGACATTCTCAAAATATTTGCGTAAAACGAGATGTCTTTTATTCCTCACCGTCCCATTTGTGTTGTTGCTGTTTCTGTGGGGTTACTGCTCTCGCCGACCGGCGCATATCATCTCAGTTATGAGCAATGCGGATTCCCACCACCCTGATATTTTTCCCATAACCGCCTACTTGGAACCGAACAGAGCTTCTGTTCGAATATTCTTCATGAAGCGCCCAGAAGTAGATGCTCGCCTGAAGTGTTACATTCAACTCCCCTCCAAGGAATTGGAGCCCAGCCGACTATCTAGCTCGCAAGTGTTCGGGGACCACGAACCGCAGTATGCATCGCTGACGGAATATGGTGGCGTGTTCCGTGGTTATGTGACATTTTGCGAGGTACCGCAGCAGATTCGAGAAAATGTAACTCTACATTCTTCAATCGTAGGCATCCAGGAAAATGTTAATGGACCTCTCGTTTTGTTGTCAATATCGCCGGGGCGTTTACTTGAACAAAACAACCAAATTCGCTTCAGACATCATTTCGCCATGTGCATGACTCCATTTTTTAACACCGGATCATTTACGCCAAACTTTCTGATAGAGTACATTGAGCTTCAAAGGCGTTTAGGTATCACACTTCTGGCATTATATCTGGCGGAACAGCCAACTGCCGGTGTAAAGAAGGTGATTGAGAGCTATCGAAATCAACCGTCACTAATGCCTGGTGAGATGATTGAAATTCGTACAGTTCCATGGAATCTTCCAGTTCCAAATCCCTCGGAAACCACTTGGTACTACGATCAAGTGCTCAGTTTTAACGACTGTCTTCACCGTCTGGCCAATGATACGGAATACATATTTTACGGTGACCTCGACGAGATTTTTATTCCAGACAGACACCTTGGTTTAAATAAAAGTACCCTCCCGACTTGGTTCGACGTTATATCGGCTGTCACCGGCGATTATGGTCCATCGCATCCGACGTTATGTTTTCCGAGCAGGTTTTTTCCACCCATGTTGGAGATCACTTCTAATAATGAAAACATATTTGCTCGAACTATAGCCACCGTGGATACCTACCCGGAACGAAGGAAGTGTTTAGTCAGGACGCAGGATGTCGAGGAGGTTTATGTACATTGGCCAGTGAAGCCCAGCGTGATGCGGCTAGCCGAAAGCTTAGGTGTTATTTTCCACTACAGAACCTGTCTCCGTAAAGGGTATATTCCCTGTGAGCTTTCAACCAAATACTCCGTGAACACTCAATTACAGCCTTACCGAGATGCTGTTAGACGATCGGTGGAGTTTCGGCTGACAAGTTTATAAAACATTTTGAGTAGATGATACGTTTATGTACTTCTATATTATGCGCGAGAGCCGCGACGATATTACAAGTAAATTCTTGTCACTGCACCGGAGCCATCGCCATATCACCACAAATCGGATTTATTCATCATGTTGCAAAACACTCCATAGCAATTATGACCTTGAGAGCAAAACGTTAGTTATATATTATTGTCCGCTGCATCACTGTTAAAATGACACGCAATTCTTTTCACATGATTCCACTGACCAACATATTTTGTCAGATTTCAACACTATGTTATTAGGATGCCAAGTCACTATTTGTTTTCAAAGAAATCAATTTCGCAAAATTTTTAGGGCATAGCTTAGCGTTTACACCCAATGATTGATAGATGGATCCAGTGAGGTGCCATTGGTAAGCTTCGGTGAAACGGACTCAAACATGGTGACAGACTGAGGGCCTGTAGATCTGTTCACCAACAGCATGAGTTCACTTGCAATAGATTGCGGATGCTTAGGCCGGTGGGCATGCACAACCTTGAGTTGCTTCGGTAACACCGATCATTACACGAACAATTAGTCAGGGCTTGCTGCTTACCGTTAAGCGACTGCACACGAATAAAACTGTTCCTGATGCATTCGTGCTTAGGTGGGACGGAGCTCCGCTTCACTCTCCTATAGCCCTCTGTGTATTTGGTGAATCAACACCAGATCATGACGCGAAATACCTCAAGACTTGTCTTTGTAATTATGTTGGGCACAAATTCTGATAGGATGAGCACTGAACAGAGCGGTTTAATCAAAATGTAACTTCGTAAATCACTTAAGCATTCTCGGTTTGACCGATGACCCACAGACCAGAAACTACGGAGGGGAGGTGAAAGAGTTTCGAAGGGTACCCATAGTTTTATGGCATTGTGCGATTGTAACCGGCTTCGGTAAATATCAATTACGTAGTGCGTCTTCATGTTGAAAGATGATACAAACAGTTCACCCGCTTTTGGTTTTGCCTAATAAATAGGCATATTTACTTCCTACAGACAATGGGCATGGTTGTTAAACGTAATAACCGCCCCATTTATATACCTGTGCTACGGATGGAGAAACGTGACGAAATGTCGGATAGACTGGTGCGAATCCAGTAAGAACAATTTAAAAAACAGTTTTCCCCAAAGGGACCAAGTTGTAATCACACCTATGGCACATATGTGGAAAAAACGCCTGTTTAGCGAAAAATATAAACTAATCCTCCACTTATTCCAAGCTGTAAACTAGAGGGCAAGAATAATATCATCAGTTTTGACAACTAACGACCGAAAAAGTTATCCTCACACCAAGATGAGCAAAACTTACCCAACATTTTCCGATGTTCTGCTTGAATAACAAGTTCAACAATAACCCGGACCGTGTTAGCAGATAAACTTTGCTTTTAGGCTTGAGCAATTCTATCCAATGCCTATTTACTAGCTATGCGTGATAGAAAGATTATCGCACATTTTAGGATCTTGGCTTTGCACGGTTTTGATAACCAATCGAGGTTTAAACTTTGCTTCCTTTGTGAGATCGTGGGTTTACTCACTTTCCAAAATTCTCTCTCACTGTCACCTATAATCATAATAATTTGTGCTGTACCTTTGTAATCTTCCTCGCGCTCGTCATATCCATAGTAATTCCGTGGCGAAAGTTTATGGGCGAGAGCCACGTATAGCTTAGGAGCCAACTTGCAATCAGTGCGTACGCATCTCTCCTTTGCGTCGCTGATTCCGCATAAAAGTACCCACTGGTCTCGATGAAACCCAAATATTACAGATGCGGAGCACATCAACAAACAAAGTACACCGTTTGCGTGTATTTAATAAATAAATGTCCAATAGTCGGACACGTGTCCAAAGATACGCTATTATCCATGAACCGATTATGTAGGTATTCTTAGCAGCCAGAATGCCCATTGCTTATGTAAATGACATGCAAATAGCGAAGACTTTCTGCTCAACATTAGTGTGTAATCCTGAGGTCCCAGTAAGTAGGGTGTTAAAAAGGAGCTATCCTCAGTAGGCTCAGGTAATGGGCCTCTTATATACATGTTAGCAACTGTAGCTTTTTCTGCAATCTGTTGCGTTTAACCTTGTCTCGTTTGATGCCGGCTATCCTTGTGGAACGAATAAACCAACCCTGGTATTTGTCAAGCGCCACAGCAAGCACCTTCACCATCAATCAGACAGCCCCTCTAGCTAGTCGTAATTTAGTGCAATTTTTATAGCAAGACATGTGGCCAGGTTGCAGATTGTCTGTTTACATGTAATCTCAGTTTACGTAGATGGACACTGAACGGTATTTCAACGTGGGGAGGAAAGCAGTTGCTTAACAATTCCCGTTGCACGAGTTGAGTGAAACTGCAGATTCATTAGTGAAGCGTCCTCAGTTTAATCGATCATCGCTTTGAATACGCTGCTGTATGACAAACACGCGGCATGAAAATTAAATGTAAATGTACAAGCCTATGGAGTGAGTAATTAGAGTTAAGCATTTTTGGAAATCCACATTGCAGATGGATTCTGGATGCTTTGTGTTCAACTCAGCCATCCGCCCACCATCGAGTGTGGACTACTCCGAGCGCAATTATCATCCCAATTATCTTCACCATGATCACCGCAACTCACCCCAATTATCTTCGCGTTATCAGCACGACCTTCACCTCAAGTATCTTCTGGTTATCAGCACAACCTTCACCCCAATTACCTTGTCAACGTGCCCTCGCTACAGGTGTTTACGTGCTTTCTCGCACTGATTACGAGCAGTGTAATTATCATCACACTCTCATTTCACGCATGCGTACTTCATCCGGTCTGTGTTTGACCAGTCGCATGAACTTCACTTGTCCACTAAAACCAGTGTACTGTATGCTGCATCGCATTGACGATCTGAAACCCTTTTTTGTTGGTCTCGGACCGAATTGTATTTCTTTTGTAAATGCGTTGAGTGGAAGCGCTACTATGGGGGTTCGTATTATTATTGCTTCCTGATTGTCCGTTAACAATACCGTCATATTGTCCAGTGTTCTTGTTCTTTGACTGGCTGGATATGCGTTGGCTCAAGGCTCTTCAAAGCGAATTGTCGCTTACACACATTAGAACGTTCACCCATTTATCTCTCATGGTATCCATGGTATATATATATATATATATATATATATATATATATCAAGACCTAATACATACAGAGAAGAAGCGGCAAGTGCGGAAGCGGCAAGCACCGATGGGTTGTACTCCATTGACATTGAGCGCATGGTGCTATAACACATACGGTCGCGAGTGCCTGAGTCACGCAGGCCTAGTGAGTCATGAGCGAGGCCACTCCGGATCACTACCGAAGCGACAACGGTTCCTGCAGAGAACGTAAGCAGAACCGGCGCAGCGTTTGTAGGCACGCTGCATTCGATTTACTAACCGCGTGCTTGTATGCAATGTCTATTTATTTCAGGTGGTGGGTTTTCAATTTTGTCCCAATGCTTCTCTTTCGCATATAAATGTCTACCTGTACTCCCTTCTATAAAGTAGCACATCTCACTGGAGCTAATTGGAGTTAATTTCGATAACATTTTCGTGTTTGTGTCATTTCCGTAAAATCTACTTCCTGACCTCATGAACTTATCTCGGATTCTTTTGTAAACGACTTATTTCATATGCTCATTAATTTAAGATTTATGTCACTGTTTCCTTATGCGTCAGTCGATTTATTTTCTTTGTTATCTTTCTCTCAACTGATCGACTGTTGCTTGATATCCCCGGTGTGACTGCTTTTGATGTGCATGTTGACAAGGTGTCCATCTGTCTTTTACCCACTACCTCGTCCATACTGGCTCTAGGAGATAGTTGCTCGTTGCTGGGGAGGGGGCGGGGTGTACCGTCCTTGTGACCGTGTTAAGATCAAAGAGTGATTTCATGCACTCAGTGTGGAGCGGACTACGGTCCAGCCACCGCCTTGTGTGCGCTTGATTCCCAAATACAGCGTGCTTGTATTTGCCTGTGAAGGAGTGTGGGCCGGCTCCGTTGATGAAACGTGGCTCCCATCCGCATGCCTCCCGGTCTTATTCCTTCGGGTTTACACTGGATATGGGGTGTGTGGTTGGAGCTGTGGGTGGTGAAGTGCAAGCCACCCATGGTCCCTTTGTAGGCGCAGGCGTCCTGCGACTGGTCACAGTGACAGGCCAATCCGAAACCGGATGCCGTCAGCCATATATATATATATATATATATATATATATATATATATATATATATATATATATCCAATGTGAATAAGACGTAGAGGTAATATTAATCTGAAGCAAGAACACGGACAAATACGTATGGTAAATATAGTATCTGTCAGAACACACTAGCAGGAGTGTAAGTAGCTATCTACTTCCGTCTGAAGAAGCCGACATATCATTACGTATAACAATGCACTATTCCCCCACATTGATGTAATAAATGCCAATCTTCCTTTCGAAAGCCACGCTACGGACTATAACTAAAACCTCGAACAACCAATATTCAAAGGCACGACAAAGTAAGGCAACCAGCGACCTTTTCTCTACCTACCAACTCAACACTACCTCGCGTAGATGTTACCTAAGGTTAAGTGGTTAACTGTTACATTGCAACATTTCAAGTGGATACTGAATTTGAGACCACGATCGCAACCTATCTTGGAAGACATTGCATGTCTTTCAGTCATCTCCACTCAGTAAATTGCCCTCAGCTTATTAGGAGTGACTGAGATTGCTTGACGAGTTGTATCGATCAAACATGTGGGTGTATATGTTATCACACAAATAAGTCCGCAACAAACAATTTCCGTATTGCCTGGTTAGTTATGTTCAACCTCTGGTTGTCTCCTTGGACCACGTATGTAAACAGACGTTCGGTATTAGTGCTCTCCCTAACATTATCGATCCAGTGTCTCAGCAGACGATTTCACAATGTTTGTTCTATCTATACACCGTAGTGTTCCGGACGGCCTCAGGCTGTCTCGCAAGTTGAAGACGCAGTTGCAATTGAAATTGGATGTCAAACCAGTTTTTCGTCCAACTTCACTAATTGTAGTAAGGCTACCCCATTGATTGTATACTAGTATGCAGGCTAGATGCCGCAACTGTCCTTCGATGCCAACGTCCGCCCTGATCTAATCAGTCTCCCCAGCCAACCAATCATTGTTCTGTTATAAGTCCTCGAGTCGTGTAACTTTATGATCATTTACCTGGCTAGTAA